GTTAAGTGTTAAACTCCAGCAGTTTCTTTCTAAATACTAGGTGTTATTTGAGTTCTCTGGGAAAGGTTGCAATTTTGTGCAGTCATTAAATGCAATTCAGTGTTCTATACAGTTTGTTTTTAAAAGCAAACTTTGCAGTTTCTGTAGGCATTGAATTTGGTTAGGGCTCATGAGTCCAAGCATAGCCCAGCTTCTGAGACACTCTTGCCTTCAAACCTTTTCCTTTCATTAGACCATTGAAGTTTGAAAACTAGTTGTGAAATAATTATCATTTCAATTGAGAAGCTGTATCCACCCCTCTAACTGTGTCCTTCTATCTGTTTCCTAGTGTCAGTGAAACATGAACCAGAATTTTGTATGTCATTAAGAACGCTGAATATTTTTCCAGGAAAAATAAATAGTATATATTTGTATAGATTTGAACATATAACCCCTGGAGCAGATACAAAGATGTAAACCTACTTTACCTCAATAAACATAATTTAAATATATATGTGTGTGCATAATTTTCACAATTAATGTTTAAAATCATGTTAAATTGATATTTTTGTCACTAGTCAACATTTTTGAGTACCTACTTCAGTGTAGGAATTGTGCTGAGCACTTTAAATACATTAATCAAGGCTGTGGGAAATGTATTCCTATTACCTCCATTTGCCAAGGTACCTTTAACTTCACCTGAGCAAAATGTAGTAGAGGGATGCATTCTGAAGCAGCTTAATGGTATCAATAGGAAACCATCTGTATTATAAATCCTCCTTGTAGATGTTTACGGTCTAACATTAAAAAGACACTGGAGTAGGGGGAAAGCCCTCACTAGAGCTCTAAAACACAACACAAAGGCCTCCAACTAACACAACACTTTTCTGCCAAATGTAAAAGCAAATGGTTGTATTGGGTGGTTCCGGCTGCACATTTGTGGAGCAATTGTGCGTAGCCAATTACCCGCTTGTGCAGGGTAAGAACAATTTGGGTTTTGCAAGTGAAGAATCTGATTCTATACATCTATTTGAATCATTCTTTTTCAACCTCAGAAAATTAACTAGAAGGAAGTAGAGACCTCTAAATCCTAACATAAAGGTTAAATATTTATGGTTTCTCTTTCCAGGCAAATACTTGAAAGCATTATAAATACTTGCTTTTATTAATCTGCACCTTTCTAGGTGAGCTAGTTTGGTCCTGCAAGAGAAATGATAGACACTTTACCAAAAAGTCTACTCAAACATACAAAGAATAGGTGATGCATTTACTCTATAAACATATATTTCTTGAGCATCTGTTCTATATATTATATGAAACCCGCTAGGCACAATCTGACACCGTTCTGCTTTTTAGCATCTACAGTATCATGGTAAGTTCTGAAGAGGGGAGGCATAACATACATTCTTAATGGATACTAGCTAAAATATTGAGTTTATGCACAGGAATAAAAGTGTAGTGTTTATCTTATTTTCTTTGACCTAGTTAATATATAATTCTACATGGGTAATTTTTGCAAAAATCATCTGCTCTAAGGTTTATCAGTTCCAACATTTTGTATACCTCCAATATGGGAAGGTGTATTATTTATTAAAAAGAAAATAAATAATAATGTCTGAATTTAAAAATTAAACTGAATGTAAAATTCAAAACATTATTTTTTAAGAGATACAAAATAGCAGTCACTTAAAAAGTATTGTGAGGGTTAGGCGAAATCTTTTTTAAAAATTTTATCTTTAAATGCAAAATACACATAACAAAATTTTCATCTTAATCTTTTTTTTTACTTAGATAACATTGGCATACAATACTGTATATGATTAAAGATCTAGCATCATATGTCCTTCAGGTATATGTTACCACACCCTCAGCACCAAGGCACTAAAAGTCTTCTCCCACAAACCATCACACCCCCTCCTGGCTGTGCTCCCTCTACCCCATAACCTTAATTCCACAGTCAGATTTATAGGGTTGGTTTTGGTTTGGCTTTATCTTACCCTTTGTTTTGTTCTCTATATTCCACATCCGAGTGAAATAATATGGAGTTGGTCTTTCTCTTTCTGACTTATTTCATTGAAATAATCCCTCCAGTTCCATCTAACTCATCACAAAAGGCAAGCATTCATCTTTTCTTTTATATAGCTGTGTTGTAGTATTCCATTATGCTTATAAACCACACCTTCCTAATCCACTCATCTGTCCTTGGGCACTTAGGTTGTGTCCATGACTTGGCTATTATAAATAATGCTGCAATGAAAATATGAGTGCATATGTCCCATCAAATTAGTGTTTTGCATTCTTTAAACAGATACCTAGTAGTAGAATTGCTGGATCACATTATAAATCTATTTTTAACATGTTTAGAAACCTCCATACTGTTTTCTATAGGAGCTAGACCAGTCTACATATTCACCAACAGTATATAAGGGTTTCTTTTTTTGCCACATCCTTACCAACCCTTGTTGTTTCTGGTCTTTTTGATATGGATCATTCTCACAGGTGTGAGGTGGTATCTTATGTGGTTTTGATTTGCATTTCTCTGACAATAAGTGATGAGAATATTTTCATGTGCTTGTTGGCCATCTGTATATCTTCTTTGGAGAAGGGTCTATTAATCGTGTTAAATGTACAGTTCAGCAGTGCTGAGAATATTCATATTGTGTAACCAATACCTAGAACTTGTTCTTGCAAAAAGAAAACTCTGTAGCTGTTAAACAAGGTATATTATTTTGATGCAACACAATATACCAAAATAGTGTGGCTGCTTTTCCAATTGAAATTTCCACCACAAATACCCCAATTTGGAATAACCTGGCATATATCACCTCAATTATACATTGTCAGTATTAGTATCTGTACATTTATGATGTGAATACATCAGAATTTGAGTAAATTCAGACTTATCATGAAGGGTTAACAGGTGGTCCCCATTTAGACTCCACTGAACTTTAACCTTCTTGAGGGCTAATATGAGTGTAGATGAAGTATCAATGCATTACTCCTCTTTATATTCCAGTAGCCAGCAGTCTGTGCTCTGGCAGGGTGTTAATAATAACTGCTTACGGAGTGGTTGAATACGTTATAGTTAGAATGTCAACTAAGACTGAATTGCTTTGTATGTTCCAAAAATAAGTGTAAACTCAACAAATTCTTTAAATCACATGATTGTACTACTGTGGTTCTTTTGAAATGCTGAATATCCAAATGAAAGACCACAACATCATACCATTTAATAGAAGATTTAAAGCATGACATTAAATTAGGAACAATCTCATAGGTTGTCAGATGCTTTTGGTTATATATCAGTTCATGAGACCCGGAGGTTTCTTTTAGGTTCTTCTTTTCAATCAGTGAATATTTTTTTTTTTTTATAGAGGCATGTTTATTTATTTATTTATTTATTTATTTATTTATTTTGTTTGTTTGTTTGTTTTGTTTACACATGCACTGGGTACAGCCAGAAGCACGGGAGGGTGAGAGAATTCACCAGAGCCAGAGCGGGGAGCAGAGCAGGCAGAAGGACCGGAGTACACTGCTGAGGGGAGCAGCGGGCGGCAGGAGAGGTCTGCGCGCCATGTGGGACCCTCCTCTGGTGGCCGGGGAGCAGCCGGGGATCGAACCAGCGCCATAGAGGCCGCGGACAGGTTCGCAACCCAGCGCTCAACCGCTGTGCCACCGGGGAGGCCCTCAATCAGTGAATGTTTTTAGAATACTTGAGAAAAATTATTAAAATAACTGAAAGAGGAGGATCAGATATAAGTCTTTGTGTAATATAGTCTTAGTTATTGAAGTTTTTGCAAATAGCATAGTCATGTCTGTATCATTAAGCCACATGAAAGAAGGGCTTCTGTCTTCAAAAGTTAAAAATTTTGAGAAAAGTTTCTTTTTAAAAATTTGATAACCATGTTTATTCAGAGATACAAAGATACAGATACAGACTAGATAAAGAAATAAAATCACGACCAGAATTATAAATTATTTCAAATGCCATGAATACAATCGTAAGTTGATCCTTACCAGTATAACAATACCCCTCATCCAAAAGTTTTTAAGATTTCTGGTTTCCATGGAGTCTTATGTGTATGTATACATGTGCAGATGACTTTATTTTGGCTTTATAAGCTATAATGAAATACTCAAAACAGAATAAAGTCTCATTCAGGTACCTGCAGCTATATATTGATTGGGGCAAAAGGAAGTTTTTTGGCAAATTCAAAATGTCTAATCCATTCTGCTGAAGTAAGTAAACTAAGAACCATTAACAAACTGCACACATATCCACACACATGGTTTATGTATACATATTGTGCACATTTAATTAATGACTCCATTGCTATTCTCTTTCAATAATGTCCATTCTTACCATTCTCATGTTATCCTTATGTAAAACCTCAGGAGTATTAAAATTAGTTTCAGGAAATCTACAAAGTCATAAAAGTCATATAGGCCATACAGAGATCATCAGGAGTTGACATTATACAAAAGAAGTAAAATTTTGAGCCGGGAAAGCTATTGTTAGTTGTATTCATAGACCACCAGCATGAATCAATGAACATATATAGATTTTTATCTTACAGTTTGGTTAAATGTAACTCAGAAATAGTAGAGCTGGGTGGGGGGGGGGGGTGGCGGGAAGAAATAGCAGAGCTGTTTTCTGCTTTGTTACCTAGCTCCAAATTTAAAGTGCCTGATTAATACAAACGTTGGAATAGTAAAAGAGAAATGTTCTGATTTACAACAATGCCTCAAATGAATGTTAGTTTATCTTATACATATTTCACATTCCTTAAGTTGTCACAGAACATTTCACACAAATTGGGTTCCCCTGACTGGGATTCTGTTCCCTTGTTTAATCAATTAAAGGTATAGCATTTTCCTAATCTCTATCTCTAGATCAAATACTCCCTCTCAGCGCATCTGTTTCGAATGTTAATAAAGTTTTCATTTCCAAAAGGTTTAAAATGACAGAACAAAATTCTCTCCTTTAAGAGCATGAAAATGACTTCTGTTTCTGTCTGCAGGTAGTGGAGGACATGCTGGAGGACGAGGAGGAGGAAGATGACAAAGATGACAAGGTAATTATCTTTCCCAGCACTTGGGTACCTGGGGATGGGGAAATGTAGACATGACACTGTTTTCACAGACAGTTAAAAAAAGGAGTTGAAGTGTTTGAGTCCAGAAAATTGGACAGTGCTGTTTATCATCCTAACAATGCCACTGCATGTTGCAAAGAGGGAGAGAGGGCTATAAATCCTCTCCGCTTTTGTCCAGAGCTTGGTCAAATATTTTTCTGCCAGGAGCCAAAAAAAAAAAAATAATTCAGCTTGTCTGGAACTTGATAGCTCTCGTGAAGATAACAGCAGTGACAACTGTTTTTGAAGGGCAAAAATTTGTCCTATCTTGAGTAATACAAATCGGGCTACACTTTGGGGGAAGAGAGAAGTGAGAAAATAGCAGCCTGCATGTTGAACATGGAAATTGTCATCTGTAAGTCTTGGAGAATTTCTCAGCAAAGGAACACATGTGTGCAGAGGGCTCCAGAGGAGATTTAAATAATCCCAGTGGTCCCTGCCCTTGCATAGCCTGGGAATGGTCTCATGGCACCTCAGTCAGGAAAGCAATTCAGAAAGCTCATGTTTCGATTGTTAGTTGACTTGGGGATGGTGACCACGGTAAAAAACAGCTAGTTTCTGGGAGTGCTTGGATTGGTTGTCCCCTGGGGAGATGGGCCAACTGGAGGAAAGAATTAGATGACCTTGCACCAAGGCAGCAGTGAGTGTCTGGAATAGGAGGAATAGCTTTCTATGGCAAGTCAGATAGCGATGTTGGTTTATTGTCATTTGGGGACATTTCTAGATCAAAGATTTTTAAAAGTCCTGGGGTGAAATTGGAAGGGGGAAGGAGGGCGAGAGACCAGCATTCATTAGTAACACACTGTTTGGCATATAAAACTTGAAAATGACCTTCACCAGAATCTATCTGACTTCTGTTATAGTAACAGTGAAAATTTTTGAAGGGGAAAAACAATGATTCTTAATTTATGCCCTTGACCTTTGATTCTAGTAGAAATGTACAGTTAAAACCCTCTGTAAGAATCTGAGTGCTGGAAGCAAGCATTGGAAATGTCAAAAATAAAAAAAAATCAACAGTGATTAGTTAACTTCTCAAATGATTTTTTTTCCTGTCTAATAATCAATGCTAGAAAGAAAATGAAAACATGCATGTCACATACACACATTTTCTCTCTTCTAGTACCGTTGCAAACATTTTTAAATGAATGAAGATTTGTTATGAATTCTTTCTCCTATACATCACTTAGTCATTAACAACATTATCAAACATACACTAACAAAATCTCCTCCCTGCAAAAACACATATGTGCTTGTTTTTTAATGTTCAATAACATAAGCATACACTTCTGGCAAAAATGATATGATTTATTGTTAAGGTCAGTAGTAGAGCTGTAGAGAGCTTGTATTTTAACTCAACATGCCAGCTCTGAATCATCATTTCTCTGCTGATAAACACTGAGCTGCCATCCATTTATGACCATTTTTCCCTTGCTTGTTGCTGCTTTATTATTAAAGCCACCATAAAGATCCATTCCAGCAGCAGGCGTTTCCCCAGAAATGTTAATAAATGGAAGCCCCTTAGTGAAGTCTAGTACTTCAATGCCCCTGCTTGAAGTCAACCTCTATTTTTTTTTATTGTTGATATCTTTGTTTTTTGCCAGCTTGTTGATATTCTATACCACTAACCTCCCCTTTCTGGCCACTTTTTTTTAATAGTGAGGATGTTAGAAGTGGGAAACAAACATCACACCTGTTTAGCCAGCTCACCAAAACATAGATGTCAGGTCGGACATACCAGGGTGGAATAACACCAAAACTCTGGAGTGGCATCTGTTGTAACCTAGTGTTTGGTTGTCTGAAATGGACACTGGTCTTAACACATTTTCAGATGTAGTTACCAAAGTTGACTGAAAGTAAGTGCTTAAATTACTGTGTGAGTTCAACTGTATTCTTCTGCACAGAATGCGGACAGTATACCTTCCATTTGGAAGGATTGTGAGCCTATTTTCATATTGCAACACTTTATTTGAATGATTTTTTTAAAAAATATTTTTCTTCTTTTAACTTATAACGCAACTGACAACATAAAAATCATATCTGAACAAATAGGAAAATTGAAAATGCAGTAATTTACAATACACTCTTCAGGGCTTGCATAATAGAGGAAAAACTGTTGAGTGGACTTTTTGAATTATAAGGTTTTACTATAAGAATGGAGATAGGAAAGACCCGTCAAGCTTCCATTTTTCAGCTTCCATTTCTTGACTGGCTCTCACAGCAGTGTTACAAGTCTTGGCTATCAGTGTGCCCGAATGGGAGAAGGGTAATTTCCTACTTTAAAAAATTCATTGGTTCCTCTATTTAAAGTTTGTGTATAGAGTCATGCGTAATGGAATTTCATGAGAAAACAAATGTGGTTTTTGCCATACGAGCAGGTACTGACCTCTAGCTCTCATTATTTCTCTGTTTTCTCATATGGTATAATAGTGGGGTCAGGTCAGTGGGTCCTCTTATAGGATAAAAGTAAAAAAGATTAATAAATGTGCCAAAGCCTCACTTTAATTGAACCTGAAGCATATGTTGCAAGTATGTAAAATATGTCCCAGATGTTTCACCAGGGCTAGTGTCTTGGCTTTCCCTGATTACCGCAAGGCAGCTATTAGTCCTATAACCTTTGGACTTGGGGGTAAATGGGGTATTACGTGGCTCACAATGAGAGCACCTGTTTTCCATTCAGCAAAGACCCCTGGCAGGCTTTGCCTAAGCCTACCCATATGTTTTCACTTAGCAGATTGTTGGGCGATTATGAAAAGTGTCTTTCTTTAGAGCCAGCATTGATATTAGTCACTCACAATGAAAGGGCAAATCATTGGCTACTTGACAAGGTCCGTGTGGGCACCCACTGAAGTTGTTTATTTCATTTGAGCTTTGAATATTTTCCCTCTGCATAATTATATGAATGACAAAGACACAGGTAGACGAAGTTGAAGTTGAAGCAGACGATTCCTTAACGTGATGGTTTAGTAATGGCTTTTCTTTAGTGTGGATTTTAGCACCTGGGAAGATTTGGGTTAAAGTTGGCAAAAGCTAAATTATGACTTACCTGGATTCTCAGAGTTTGTCCAGATGATGGCTTTTTGAGTATTTTTTTCCATGAGTTCTTCCTTTTTTATTAAAATAGTTGATCATTATTCAGGCTAGGGTTTGTGATCTTCAGACTTACTCTCCATTCTAAAATCTATTGTCCACATTTGCTTAAATCTAAAATAAGATGACTTCTCTCTTCATCCATTCCTATGGTTTTCACAAAGGCAGAGAATATGAGTTTTAAATGGCAAGTGGTAGTCGTGAATCATTGACTTTTTAATATTTTCATTTATCTGCCGTATATAGTAGCACTATGTTAAGCTGTGCCGGGGTTGAAATTTTTCCTGAACTAAATGTTAAAAAGATGTCATACTGCTAAATGTTAAAAAGATGTCTTCAGTCTCCTCTGTTGTAGAGCATTCTCTCAGTCATCCACCTCAAAGTCAGTTTGATCTGAATTTTGATCTGACACCAAATCCTGCCTTTGTAGCTAATAGAATACCTTAGTAAATAAGGTTTAACTAAATTACCTAGGTGGGGCTATCAACAAGCCATATAATAGTGTTTTTCACCATGTTATATATAATAAGACTGTGGTCAATCTGCATAATCTAGACATCTAATTTATGAAGATCAGCTTTTGCTTTGTGGCTTAAAAAGTTTAGGCTTGTTGCCCATGGTGTGGCCTACCCTTGTAATAAGATCCAGCTGTGGTATCAGGAAGTCAAAGATAAAATGCAGGTTTTCCTCAGGAAAAGCATAGATTCAAATGCATGGCATTGTTGTAATGTTTATTGATAAAAGATATTAAAATGTTCAGGCATTTATGCTTACATTGCTTCTCCTATTTCTTCAACCATTATGTCAAGGTTACTGTGTTTCAAGATAACTAGATGCAATAAATGAAACATATCTGAGTTACTTCAAAATGCACAGCTTGTTTGCTTTAATTCTTGAAATCTGTGTTTTCTAGTTTGATTCGCTAGCCCTAAACATGTATATAATATACCCAAGATGAATTCATCTCCGCATCTCAAATCAACTGTGAGGGGGGAAAAGGAGATAACACTGATATGTGATATAGAAGATTTTAATCTGACAAAATGTCATTTTCCAGTTATATTCAATGAAAAAAAACTGCATGGTGAGGAAACAGATCAAGGTTTTGGGAAAAGGCAGAGACAGACAGGAGACAGGAAAAAAAATTCTTTTACATAATCCTAACTCATGTCTAATTAATTCATTAATTCATTGTATTAGTTGATTGGTTTTCTATTGCTGCACAGCAATTTGCCACAAATTTAGAGACTTAAAATAACACATATTTACTTGTTCTCAGTTCAACAGGACAAAATCCCAGGCACAGCTGTTTTTGGCTTTCTGCTCCCAGTGGGCACTTTTCATGACCCCCCCCCCTGTAGTGGCAGGAATGGGGCATGGAGCAGGTTTTCTATGATCCCATGTAGAAGGGGTAAAGGAGGAATGAGTCCTGGAGCCCTCAGTGGCTTTTGCAGGCTTTTACTGGGATTTACTGGGTACACAGCAGGCAAGGGTGCTGGGGGGCTGGGAGGCTGGCAGGTTTCCCAGCCCCCAGCAAGCCTTCACATTATCTGGGCTCTCTGGCCTTCTCTCGTGTTCTCTCTGCTTCTACTCTCTCTCGGTTCTGCTTCTCCGTTTCTCCTGCTTCTCTCAGCTTCTTCTGGCATCCCTGTGACACTGCCCTTAAAAGCCCACTTAGCCCAGGTGAATCTCATCTACATATGCCCACACCCTATTCCAGGTGCCCGCCATCAGGCATGCATTTCGGAACCACAGGGTTTTCATCTATCCTAATGGCAGGAGGGCAGAAAAGCCTGATACTTTTTACCTTACCCTACACCCCCTCAATGGAGAATTTTCTTCTGTTGAATCTCTTT